TTTCTTTCTTTCTTTCTTTCTGTGGGGGAAGATAAGAATCTCCCAGATTCTCTTCCACAGGCTGACTTTGACCTGCAATCCTCAGATCTCAGCTTCCTAGTAGCTAGGACTACAGGAGCGAGCCACTGGCACTTGGCTTATTATTTTATTTTAGAAGAGGAAAATAAGTTGATTTTTAAAACAGATTAATATTTAATAAGGTGCTAAATAAGTTAAAAAAATCAAAATTTCTACAAATATCATAAAAGAAAAAGCTGTGTTAAGTCCTTAGTGCTATTAATCAAAAAACGCTATAAAGAGGTCAGTATAATAAGCTGTCAGAAAAAAAAAATAGCCCTGGCTCCAGTTTCCTGTGACTTAAACATGCTCTGAATGTTCATAAGGTTTCGAAATGTTAGTAACCTGAACATCTTGAAACTTGGAGAAAGGAATAAAGCTATCCATCAGGACCAAATGTCAGAAATGTAAAAACATTTGGGGGTATTAAAAGTCCCTAAAATTCAGAATTCTATGTACTACTTCACCCTATTTTTTAAAAGAAGATTTATTTCATATAAACTACTCCAAAGAGTTTTTGTCAATTTCCACAACACTAATAAAATGTGATCTAAATCTTGACTAAGATAATAAATTGTATTATACAATACAGATGAAGAGAACAAAACAAGAGCTTGAGAAATCAGGTTTTCTGCAACCCTGGGGGAGAACATTTGTTCTCACATGCTTACAAAGACACAAGTCATTCTGGGGTTGGGGATAGAGGTCAATGCTTGAATGCTTGCCTAGATATTTGATCTACAATACTACCAAAATAAATAAATAAAATACATATTACTGATCTTACTTTTGACATTGAAACTACCTGAGCAAAAATTAAAATAAATTTCAGATTTTAAGGATGTGGCTCAATATTTTCCTTAAGGATTATTACATTTCCAGAAGATTCTAATATGCCAGCAATATTCACTAGCTGTCCAAACAGGCTCATCAACAAAAACATAGTTTTAAAAAAAGAAACAGGGGGCTGGGAAGGTGGCTCAGTGGTAGAGCGCTTGCCTTGCATGCATGAGGCCCTAGGTTCGATTCCTCAGCACCACATATGCAAAAAGAAAAGAGCTGGAAGTGGCGCTGTAGCTCAAGTGGTAGAGCGCTAGCCTTGAGCTGAAGAGCTGAAGGACAGCGCCCAGGCCCAGAGTTCAGGCCCCACGACTGGACCCAAAAAAAATAAAAAGAAAAAGAAAAAAAGAAACAGAAAGAAAGAAATGTTCCAGAAAGAAAAGTTAACAAGAGGCTAAGAAACTACTACATTTTGTTTCTTATTTATAAGTCTCCACCAGAAAAGTGGTAGTAGCACTGTGGCTCAAAGTGATAGAGTACTAGCTTTGAGTGACAGAGCTCAGGGAGAATTCCTAAACCCTGAGTTCAAGCCCCACAACCGACAACAATAATAATAATAATAATAATAATAATTCAAGTCTGAGAAACCCCCCCCCAATCTGCAACTCAAATACTCAGAAATATTTCTGAGTATCAATTTCTGCTGTGTGTTGGGCACTATTCCTCATGTTTAGAGTAACAGTTAAGAGTAGACAAAGAACCATTCTATAGAGTACAAAGAACACACAAGCAATAAACATTCAGCTATAATATACAACAGTAAAAACTGTTATGAATAAATCTAAAGCATAGAAAGAGAGATTGGTAAGGGATGAGTATGGACTAATATGTACATGGTTAGGCAAGTCCTCCCTATCAGGAAAGGAAAACCATACAGCTGTTCAGAGGCAAGATATTCTTCGGTAAGGCAAAAATGACTGCTAGCATGTCTGCAGAACTACAAGGAGGCACAAGGTTAGCTAATTGGAAAAGTATAATGAACTACAGAATAATAACTGTATTTTAGGAAATGTAGTTCCATATGAAACCACAAAGCTAAAAATTTCATAATTTTCTACTCAGATGAAGGAATTAGGCTAGGAAATTTCTAACATCTGCTAAAGGAAGCATTTCTAAAGATCTTTGAAAAAATGCCAACCTTTTGTGCTATGTAAGTATATAGCATATTAAACATTTATCTCTAAGCAGAAAAACACGGTAAAGATGTACAGCTACTAACTACCTGTTCTTTCAAAGGGCTCTATTCAAAACAAAGGGGCTAGAGACATAACTTAAAACAAAAGAGTTCCTGCCTAGCAAGTGCAAGGTTCTGAGTCCAAACCCATCCATAGATAAATAGGTAGACAGATAGAAAGATAGATAGATAGATAAATTGGAGGGGGTAAGAGGAGGAGAGGGAGAGGAAGACAGGAGAGGAAGGAAGAGAGAAAGAAAGGAAGAGAGGGAAGGAGGGAGGGAGGGAGGGAAAAATGAGGAAGGGAAAACAGGCAGGGGGATGGGAAGGGAAAGAGAAAAGGAAAAAGAAAAGAAAAATAGAAAGGAATAAAGGAAACTAGTCTCAGGGAAGAAAATTATTTTGGAAAAACTGAAAAGTATTTACAATTACTATTTTAAAAGAAATACACAATTTCTAAAAAGTATATTTTCACATTTTTCACAAGTTAGGTAAAAAAACAAGTTGAATTAATAAGCACCTAACTATACGTAAATGTCCATTCAATCAAGTACTTCTGGATGTTTTAAATGCCCCTATTATCCTTGAGTAGAGAAAATATTAATTCAAATTTATTACTTTAAATACTACAGGGAGGGGCTGGGAAGGTGGCTCAGTGCTAGAGTGTTTGCCTTGCATGCATGAGGCCCTGGGTTTGATTCCTCAGCACCACATGAGCAGAAAAAGCCAGAAGTGGCACCGTGCCTCAAGTGGTAGAGCACTAGCCTTGAGCTGAAGAGCTAAGGGACAGTGCCTAGGCCCAGAGTTCAAGCCCCACGACCAAAAAAAAAAAAGAGAGAGAGAAATTTAAAAGATCAGCAGTGGGCTGGGAAGGTGGCTCAGTGGTAGAGCACTTGCCTTGCATGCATGAGGCCCTAGGTTCGATTCCTCAGCACCACATAAGCAAAAAGAAAAAAGCCAGAAGTGGTGCTGTGGCTCAAGTGGTAGAGCGCTAGCCTTGAGCTGAAGAGCTGAGGGACAGCTCCGAGGCCCAGAGTTCAGGCCCCATGACTGGATCCAAAAAAAAAAAAAAAAAAGATCAGCAGTCTCCAAGGTAAAGTTTATAGAACTTAATTTTAATCCAAATTATGAATTTTAAAAAAACATTTAAGTATATAGAACTTTATGTATGTCATATTTTCTCCTGTGACTTTTTGTTTGGCTTTATCATCTAAAGGGCTACATGGCTATTTATACATATCCCTTATGTTGTAAAGATCTAAGATTTTAATTTCCCAAAATCAAATTTAAAAACTATAAAACCTCAATCCAATTTTATCTCATATTAAGGAATTTTCTTCTGTTTGAACAAGCCATGACTAAAATTGAAAAACTTAAGCTGGGTATGGAAGCCTACACCTATAAGCTCAACACTCAGAGGAGGAATTAACACTGGCTATACGGCCATGTGTATGTGACCAACTTGAGCAATACATCTAGACTCTACCTCAAAATATAAAAGAAAAGCTTAACAATACTAACGGTTGTTATGGCTATAGAAGTAAAATCCCAAGAGAAAATGAGGGAAGGGAAAACAGTGTTTAAAGAGAAATGTACTAATTACCTTACTTATGTAACTATAACACCACCCCCCACCCCCCCATCCCCTCACCCCCATTAATCATTTTTACAATAAGGATATTTTTAAAAATTTTAATAAAAGCACAACCCAGGGAATCAAAAAAAAAAGAAGAAGAAGTAAAACCCTCCCACAAGCTGGCAGATGAAAGTAACACTTGCTATATCCTTAGGAAGCATAGTTTGTATACCACAAACCCGTTCAACAGTGCCTTCACATTCCCTGATAACAGCACTCACAACTGAGAGCAATACTGAGTCATTCCAGGTTTTTTTACTGGTGCTTTCATTACTAGTCTTCCAAACATACCCTAATGGTTGACCGTCTCACAAACCAAATCCTACTTTACACAAAAGAGTATTTTTTTTTTTTGGGTCCGGTCATGGGGCCTGAACTCTGGGCCTGGGCACTGTCCCTCAGCTCTTCAGCTCAAAGCTAGCGCTCTACCACTTGAGCCACAGCGCCACTTCCAGCTTTTTTCTTTTTTCTTATGTGGTGCTGAGGAATGGAACCCAGGGCCTCAGGCATGCAAGGCAAGCGCTCTACCACTGAGCCACCTTCCCAGCCCCACACAAAAGAGTATTGAACACAACAACATAGGATTTAGTCCTAAAATATTTACCAAACTGACAATTACTACAGTAAAAGAAACTTCATAAAACGAGGCATAGGCTAGCCCACAGTATTTTACTACTTAATAGTCATCTCTGTATGACGAATGTGATATAAAACATATACAATAGGAAGTGGTGCTGTGGCTCAAGTGGCAGAGCACTAGCCTTGAGCTGAAGAACTAAAGGACAGTGCCCAGGCCCAGAGTTCAAGCCCCACAACCAACAAAAATAAAATAAAATAATTAAAAAAAAAATATATATATATATACACACATAACAATAGTCTATTGTAATTGTAAACTGTAAACAAATCAGTCCCTGTCTCAAATTATAAAAAGGGTAAAATAATCTCAGCAAATGAAGTAATTTGCAGTGGGGAGAGCTGAGGGAGGGAAGGAGTTGGGGAGGTGGGGAGGGAAGGGATGGTAGAGGAAAAACAAAGGAGGAGGTAACAATGCTCAATAGGAAATGTACTCATTACCTTACTCATATAACTGTAACTCTTCTGTACAGTATCTTTACAATAAAAAATATATACAAAAAATGAAGTAATTTTAGAAAATAGTATTTACTATTGCAATTGAGCTGTACATCCTTAAAAAGTCATCAGTTTTACATTTTTCTCAATTTTATTATTTGATATTATAAATCAATGAAGTTAATACAAAAGATAAATAAGAGTAAAAGAAAAACTTACTGGGACTGAAAACTCCTCTGCCAAGTGTTTCAGCAAAGATGCTTCTTTAGCCAACAATTTGTTCCTTTCTCTCATATTGCCTTGAAGTTGTGTGTCAAACTCTTTTCTGACCACAGAAGCAATGGAGTCTATAATCACAAGTTTAACACCTTTTGAAATAATTTCTTCTTCCAAAGATTGAATCCTATAAAAGCAGAATTCATAAAATAATAGACAAACTTAAAACCTAAGTTAAAAATAGCATGTTAAAAGTTCACTTTTGCCAGGTGTCAGTGGCTCATGCCTGTAATCCTAACTACTACTCAGGAAGCAGAGATCTGAGAATTGTGGTTCAAAGCCAGCCATGGCAGGAAAGTTCATGAGACTCTTATCTCAAATAAACTACTCAGAAAAAGCTGGAAGTGGTGCTGTGGCTCAAGTGGTATACCACTAGCCTTGAGCAAAAAATGCTTAGGGAGAGTGCCTAGGCCCTGAGTTCAAGCCTCAGGAGAAGCAAAAAAAAAAAAAAACACTTTTTTAAAAAGTTAACTTTAAAACAACAGCAAATTGGTCCTCTCTACGTTACTTCCTAAGTTACTTCTCTAATATATTTCCCATAATTCTCATGCATGAGATTTTTTTTCCTTTACTCAGAAGCTGGAAAAATGAAAAACAAAAGATTTTTTTTAAAAAAAGATTATTTTGAAAGCACTGCTAAATTAATACAATGAAAAACAAACCAGCATACCGTTGCAGAACTTCATCACAAGTGAGTTCCCGATAAAGATGAACTTTACTACTTGTTAAAATTAACTTTTCTTCAGTGTCAAAATATCCGGGAAAGCGGGATTCCGCTATCTCAATCAGCCTACGTGAGAAAAACAGTACAGGAGAAAAGAATCAATGATTGCTGAACCTCTAGTGGATTTTACTTGGGAAACTCCTAAGCTGGCTTATCAACAGAGCGGGTTTAAGAAATGGCTGAAAATGTAAGCCATGAATGTGATTTGTCCTTTTCCAAAGGGTAGCTGTTAGAGCATGAGACCAACAAGGGCTTTTAGTTCTCATCTTATCTTGAATAAGCAATATTGTGTCTAAGGTTTATATTCTTGGGAATAAATGTTTAATGAATAATATTTTGCCTCACAGCTATAAGATATATTAGTGAATAAGAAAATGCTTTCAGGGAGCTGGGAAGATGCTTAGTGGTAGAGTGCTTGTCTTGCATGCATTAGGCCCTGGGTTCAATTCCCCAGTACTACATAAGCAGAAAAAGCTGGAAGTGGCACTGTGGCTCAAGTGGTAGAGCACTAGCCTTGAGCTGAAGTGCTGAGGGACAGTGCCCAAGCCCAGACCACACGAACAGCAAAAAGAAAAAGAAAAGAAAATGCTTTCATTTTCCAAAATGCACAAAGTATATCTGAACAAATAGGGTATATAATCATTTTAATAATCAGATATCAGTAAGTCATCATGTCTCATTGCTTTAAAAAAAATATGCTTTCTCAATTAAAAATTAACTCCTATCAAAAAATTATCTTCTACTTAATGAACTATTGTTATCTTGACAAATGAATGCTCCCAGTTGTTTTAGGAAAATGATTTTTCTAAACATGAAATCATGACCTCAAGCCTAGATCTAATAATATATGAATGTATAAGAATTACAAGTTGAAACAGAGGCCAGCAATAGCTTAAGAAGACATGGGAAGCATTACCAGAAAATGACAAGTGTTTAAGGTTCAAAATGTTAAAAATACAATTCTTGGAGTATAACTGTCTGCCAGTTAAAATGACACTTTATCAGCCCTAGTACTTAGCCTTCCAAGGGGTCTAGCAGGAGAGACTGTAAACACAAAAACCATCCTATATTTTATGTTCCATTTGGAGACACACAGTACAAAAGAAGAGTTTTCAACTCTAAACAGTTGAAGAGTTCTAAGAAGAGACTGATGACTTCAAACAGATAAACAAAATAAGTTTCTTTCATACGGTGTAATCCAAAATGACAGGGAAACACCTAAAACAGCAAAAAAAACAGAGAAATAAAAAGAAACTAGCCAACAACTTTTTTTTTTTTGGGGGGGGGTCCAGTCGTGGGGCCTGAACTCTGGGCCTAGGCACTATCCCTCAGCTCTTCAGCTCAAGGCTAGCGCTCTACCACTTGAGCCACAGTGCCACTTCCGGCTTTTTTTTTCTTTTTTGCTTATGTGGTGCTGAGGAATCGAACCCAGGGCCTCATGCATGCAAGGCAAGCGCTCTACCACTGAGTCACCTTCCCAGCCCGCCAACAACTTTTGTAAAGTATATTTTAAACAACCTGAAAAGAAAATAAACAATTAGGTAGAACAGAAAAAGAAAAAACATGCTTCAGGAGTAAGAATTGGGTCCAAATAAGTGTAAAGAGAGAGAGAAAAACCAAAACTGACATAATCATTTAGAAGTGCTATAAGGGGACAGGGATTAAAACAAAAGGAAATAAGATGAGGAAAGCCGGAAGAAGTAATAGGCATTCAAATAGCAGAACTGGCAAATTCTAAAAGCCTGGACAAAATATACATAATTTTTTAGTAAGGTAACTATTTGTTAAGTTTACCGCTCATCATTAAAAAAAAAAAAAAGCTATAGTGTTTCCTACAAAATTTTAATAGAATAGGTATAGCAACATCTACCAGAAACATGAAAGCTTTTCAAAACTTAGATACCCAGCTGGTCAGAAACCAAATGGAGAATATGTAGCTCATTGGATCTCACCCACTTCCTTGGATGGTAAAAAGTTCTGGAACATAACACAGCTATCTCATGGTGATCAATGCATAGTAATCAGTAGAAATGGTGATCAGTACATAAACTATCTTTATTCAGTTACCATGTTCAGTTACCTGTAGTAAATGGCTGTTTACACATCAATATGCCACAGTTTTCTATATGCTTCTTTAAATGTTTTTATTTTAGAACCATCTGAAGAATATAAATCAGAACTAAAGATAAATGTATCCTATGCATAAGGATTCCATATGCCTCTTTAGGGAAAGCAACTTAAGTTATCTTTGACTCCCATTTCAAAACAATGCCACCTAGTGGACACCTTCTTATAAAACAGGTTCCTTTGAAAGGATACACAAGATTTATGTATTCAACATTTATACTAGGCATTGTTTTAAGAGCTAAGGATATAGTAATATAACAGAGAGAGAGAGGGAAAAAGAGGGTAGAAAAGTAAAAAGAAAAAGCAAAAGGGAAAGGAAAGGGAAGAAAAGAGAAGAGAAACAAGGAAAGAGAAAAAGTTCTTTCATCATAGAGTTTATAGACTATGGAAAAAGACATAAAGCATAGAAGCAAGCACTATTTTGTGGAGTTTTGTCCTATGGTGACATTTAAGGAGAAAATTAAAGGAGATGAGAAGATAAACCAGGTGGATATCCAGTGTGACAGAGTGAGAATAGAGCACTTCTGCAGTGCAACTTACTGAATAATTTAAGGCACTGGGAAATAAACATCAACCATAAAAGAAAAACTAAAGGATTGAATATAACAACAAAATCATAGACATAAATGATATCATCACCAAAGCTAAAGTATAAATGAAAATCACAGACATTAGTATCGATAAAATGCAAAGTATTTACATAAATCCATAAGACAAAAGACAAAAAATATGTAAAGTATATTTGTAATGTACCAAAGAAATATAGTCAATTCATACATGAAAAGATTTGGACTACTGGGCTGGGAAGGTGGCTCAGTGGTAGAGCGCTTGCCTTGCATGCCTGAGGCCCTGGGTTCAATTCCTCAGCACCACATAAGCATAAAAAAAAAGCCGGAAGTGGTGCTGTGGCTCAAGTGGTAGAGTGCTAGCCTTGAACTGAAGAGCTGAGGAACAGCACCCAGGCCCAGAGTTCAGGCCCCACAACTGGACCCAAAAAAAAAAGAAAAGACTAAGGAAAAGATTTGGACTACTATAGTTCAAACAATGAGATACCATTTTTCCTATAAGTATGACAAAAATTAAAGAAAGAAACAAGAAAAGCATACGATTAAAAAAGTCTCAAAACAGTGTAGGTTGGAATACAACTATTAGACTATTTCTAGACAAATGTGGTAATTTGTATCAATATTTTAAATAAATAGTTCCTTAATAGGTTTCTGTTCAATTATAGACATCAATATAAAAGGAAAACATAAATATTGTTTTAAAAAACTGTAGGGCATTATTTTTGATGCCTAATGATGATGAAACTTCTAAATTAAAATCCAAAAACCATATAGCAACAACTTAAAACTCTATTCAACAAAAGACATCACAAGATGATAGATGACCAAAAATAAAAAGATATTTATAATGCATTAAGCTGGCAATATCTACAAGTTGTACAAAAACTCCTGTGAATAGAAAGGAAACTACTGGATGCCTGGTGGGAAGTGGGGTAAAGATAGATTCATAGAATAATGCTCAATAGCTAACAGATGTTCATTGAATGGTTGAAGGTATTACTTGTAACCTTTCTAGAATCAATCATTTTTTCCAACCAGAGTTGAGTAGAAACAGAAATATATGCTACCTTTCAGCAAACTTACTAGCCATATGATCTTGGGTATGTCATATCACTTCTGAGTCCCATCCTTATTCTTAAAATGGCACTCCTAATTTTCAACCTGTTTATCAACACAGGACTATTGTATGGACAAAGTGAGATGCCAGTTCATCATGCTAAAATATGGTCATCTATAAAAAATGTCAACTGGACGTTTTTATCAGTATCAGTATCAGCATCTCTCATATCACACCCCATTCAGCATCCCAAGACCCCACTCATTTATCATTAGAAAAATCACTTCTTCCTGAACCTCTATACAAATTTCCAAGGCACCTACTAGGTAGAAAATTCACCTGTCTTCCTCCTCAGACTGTGTTATGATGCAGATAATATCATTTTAAGGGATTATGCTGTAAGGAAAAAAAAAATTAGCCAGGTGCAGGTGGCTCACACCTGTAATCCTAGCTACTCAGGAGGCCAAGAATTGAGGGTCACGGTTCAAAGCCAGCCCAGGCAGGAAAGTCTATGAGACTCTTATTTCCAATTAACCACCAGAAAACTGGAAGTAGCACTGTGGCTCAAAGTGATACAGTGTTAGCCTTGAGCAGAAAAAGCTCAGCGACTGTGCCCAAGCCTTGGATTCAAGCCCCACAACCGAACAAAAAGAAAAAACAAAAAAACAAAAAACCTACCTTCACTGCCCTGACTCATAAAATCCCCCCAAAAAATATTTCTGAAAACACATTAAAAAATATATTTTTTAGGGTCTGGGAAGGTGGCTCAGTGGTAGAGCGCTTGCCTTGCATGCATGAGGCCCTGGGTTCGATTCCTCAGCACCACATAAGCAAAAAGAAAAAAGCCAGAAGTGGCGCTATGGCTCAAGTGGTAGAGCACTAGCCTTGAGCTGAAGAGCTGAGGGACAGCACCCAAGCCCAGAGTTCAGGCCCCACGACCGGACCCAAAAAATATATTTTTTTTTAATTTCTCCTTGAATAAGTCCCAATCAGTTGCTGGCTGTAAGAGAACATACTGCTAACTTCATAAAATCTTCTTCCCTACAATCTAACTTAACTTACTGTATTCAAAAACCTTACATCCTTCTCAGCGTCCCCTGTCTGGAGCAACTTATTCCTCACAGACAAAGAATGCCAGCTATTCCTTGACCCATCTCTTCCTTCAACAGATGCTTTTATTCTTAACCTCCACTTCCATCTTTTTCTAATTATCTCCAATAGGGAAAATAAATTATTTATTCAATATTTATATACTAAAATTCTTATAGTTGCCAAAATATTCATCGGTTTAAAATATGGGGATGGCTCACTGGATT